AAGGGATGGAGGGACAGGACACAGGGAATGGCTCCCACTGCCAGAGGGCAGGGCTGGATGGGATATTGGGCAGGAATTGTTCCCTGGCAGGGTGGGCAGGCCCTGGCACAGGGTGCCCAGAGCAGCTGTGGCTGCCCCTGGATCCCTGGCAGTGCCCAAGGCCAGGTTGGACACTGGGGCTTGGAGCAGCCTAGGACAGTGGGAGGTGTCCCTGCCATGGCAGGGGGTGGAGCAAGATGAGCTTTAAGTGCTCTTCCAACCCAATCCAATTCTGAAATTCTATGAATCAAATGTGGGTTTCCTACTCCTGGAGAAAGGTTCTCATCCTCTAATCACCCTGTGCTCATTGAGGGCACACAGACCCCCGAGCCCCCCGGGAATTTCACGTGTCCCTTCACTGAGTGTATCAGTGGCAAAGCTCATCACCACAGGCCCCAAAAGAACAGCAGGCAGTAACAAAATCACCAACAGGCAACTGCAGAACTCCCTGAAAGGAATCCAGGGCCTGACTGCAGCAGAACATGGGACAGAGGAAAGCAAGGGGTGAATTCATCACCTCCCTCTCACACTGACACCAGGCTGGGCTCCAGCCACACCAGGGCTGTGCACAGAGCTCAGGATCAGCTGGAGCTGTGAGCAGGACAGCCAGGTACAGCAATCTGCCTGCCCCAGGCACACCTGCCTGAGGACCATGCTGCTGGTCACATTCAGGAAGGTTACACTTATTACACTGCAAGTTTACACTTATTACACTGGAAATGATTGCACTGACCCTCCCAGTGAGCCCCACTGCAGCCACTGCTCACACAAACTCACTGTGGGGACAAGTGACATTTCAGCCCTGCTCCTCTCCCACAGGCAGCCTCGTGCTGACTGAGACAGAAACAGAAACTGTTTACACAGGAAAACCTGTGGGGTTTATCCTGCAGCCCAACTGTCCTCACAGCAAAATGCTCCCAAAGATGAATATTCACTCGTGTTCCCTGTCCCCACGTGGTTCAGTTTGTATTTTGCTTTGTTAACAGACATGCACCAAAGCTCTCCCAAAAATCATGGATGTCCTGATGTTTAAAGCCTTTCCTGCTGCTGCATTCCTTGTGAAGAGAACATCCTGGAAAGCACAGCTGCCCCCAGGCTTGATGTGAAATCCAAGCACAAAGCAGAGATCTCTCCTGACCTTACTGGACTCAGAACATGACTCACAGGCAGAATCTGCTTGGCTCCAAAGAGGGACATTGATTTTTTGTGTTCTTAAAGAACAAAGCAGCCAGTGGGGCCTGGTGGATATCCCTGTAACTGTGCCAGTGTGTTTTCCTGAGCTAAATGATCTGTAAATAGCATTAATTGCAACTGATCAGAGTTAAACAGCATATCTTTTATAATACATAATCTGCAATGTTCCTTCTTCACATTGAAATTGGCTGATGAACAATTATGGGGCATTAGATCCCATTAGGTTCATTTATTGCTGGAATATATATATGCTTAGCTAGGATGAGTGGATATGACCAATTTTATAAATGACCTTTAGAGTATACCCTAAACTTTTCATTGGTAGCATTTCATGATACACAAAGAAAGCCTTAGAAACAGTCACATCACACTTCATGTGTATGGATAATGCAGAGTCCTGTAAACATTACAGGATTAGGGAATTCCAGAATGGTTTGGGTTGGAAGGGACCTTAAAGCTCATCTGGTTCTTTGGGCAGGGACACCTTCCACTGTCCCAGGCTGCTCCAACCTGGCCTTGGACACTTGCAGGGACAGGGCAGCCACAGCTCCTCTGGGCAACAATGCCAAGGCATTGCTCAAAATTGTCTTCACACAGTTGGGGACAAGTCTGGGAGTCTCCACCCTTCACACACCCACTGAGAACTGATGATGAGTTCAACACAGATCATTTTTCCTCTACCAGCAAACTCGTACCTCAAGCTTTGGGCTCTTTTTGCCCAAAAGAGCAGTGCTTGCTTGCTAAGACTCAGCTGATCACATATACAAGGAGGTTAAAATTCAAAATGTTTCTAGTTCATGAGACACAGGCTTATCTCTGGCAAACTGGGTGATAAGGGGACTCATTACAGGGATCTCCTGCAGAGGAAAATTTATTGGTCATTCTTCTTGTAGGGAAGAACAGCAACAAAGCAGGAGGCTGAGTTATGATATGGCACGTTCAGAATTAAAAAAATTAAAACAGAACTCTTGAGATCTGCACAATCACTTTTTTACTTCCAACTACTGCAGTCTTGTGTGCTCCTCTAACAAACTGCAAAAGCTGTGAAAAATCATCTCAGGAAAAGCACTACATAAATCTGCTGACAGGATGGGGACTGCTGGCTAAAGTGCCAAATCCTCACCAGGTAAGAGCTGGTGCCCCTGAACCCCAGCTGTCAAAGGAAGCTCATTCAGCCAGCTTTAACTTTCACCTCCTTGTTTCCTGAGTGATGTCAACTCCATCATGCAGCTCTCCTGGTGAAAGAGTAATTTGTGAGAAGCCTGGGAAGCATAGATTTGATTTGTCTGTGGAACTTAATTCAACTTCTGCTTCATAAAGCCATGAATGCACTGATCTCACTCATGCACATCACAGCAAGTGACCAATACAGAGCTGTGGCAGAGAGCTCACAGTAAAATTAAAATATGTAAGAAAGAGAAAACAAAACATAAAAGAAGAGAAGAAAGCCTGAACAAATCGCCCTCTCCAAAAGAATCAGGTTAGAATTTAATCAGGGAGGTATTTAGTAATTAGATGACAATTAATTAAAGAGAACTGTAAGCTATAAAAATAATCTTGATTCCAAATAGAAGGAGCAGATCATCCTTCCCAAACTCCAAACCTGTCTGTGTATGGTGTAAGCTTTTAGCAAACTTTAATTAAACTAATCCAATTGAGAGCCCATCTCATGTCAGATGTGTGGAGCAGACAGGGAATAACACTCCAGAGAGAAGTAAAACCCTGTGAAATAACTCCTGCAATTCTTGGAGTTGAATTCAGTCTCCCAGCAGCTCCCAGGTTCCATGTGAATTCCTTGGATAACGCTGTCCTGGCTGGGAGCCAGCAGAAAGCCAAGACCTCGACAGGTGACGCTGTGTGTGCACACCAGGACTGGCTCCTGCAAGAGGCTTTAGGGACACTGACAGTGCACAACTGACACAGGATCGAGCCACAGGGAGCAAACAGAGCTTCTCCAGGAAAATATTGGGACAATCCCAAATAGCCATCACCAACCTGAGCTGGCAGAGGCGTTTCTGGCATCTCTCACAGATGGTGACAGAAACCTGCCTGTCCTTGGCCCTGACCTGAGGGCTCCTCGTGGAAAACACACATTTCATGGCCAGTCAAGGGAATTATGGACAATCATGGGACTGCTAAGGCTGGAAAAGCCTCTGAGATGATGGAGTCCAACTGTTCCTCCAGCACTGCCAAGGTCACTGCTGAGCCACCCCACAAGTGTCACATCCACATGGATTTGAAATCCCTCTGGGGACAGTGACTCCACCCCT